TAAAAAGCTCATCAAGCACTTCATTCTCTTCTTGTATTCCATCCAGTTTCGTGATGAAATGAAAACTCTCCATATCATCTGTGTCAGAGGCCGTCATGTGCAAGAGCTTAACCTTTAACTCCTTATCTACACTTTGTGCTTTCACGAGATTATGCAAAACAGCAATTGAGGTCGGAATTACCAATTCGGCTTAAACCTGCATTGCTGTTTTCTGAATCTCGTCCTCGTGGGAGAATGTGTAGAATTACATTTTGAGTAATTCTGAGAGGGTCCATGTTTTAGTTTTTTGCGGGAACGAGGGCTATCCGGTAATTACCAGATAACCTATCTGACTCTACCTTTAACTTACCATATAGCTAAGCCTCGGCATGATAAAGTAATCCTTGAGGGTTACCCGGTAAAAGTGTAAAAGGTAAGGGTAAAGGTATTACATTTGGCTATAGGTTAAGGTAAAGGTAGGGTAAAGGTAGAGCCTCGCGGGTTACAAGGTAATTACCGGTTAACCCGTGAAAAAAAAATGTGGACATTCTTCTGCATATTCTCCCTGATTAACCTTGAACAAACCTACAACCAGATTCAACAATATTGTGCGATGAAGTCAGGGAACTGATTCAACTCTTTCAGACTATATTGTGGTCTGCAAAGCTAAATTTGCAGGACGCATGATGTTACTAGTTTGAGTAGAAAAGCCATCACTTGCTGCATTTTTGTAATATGGCGACGAGTTCTTTTAATAGAAGTTATAATAGCGTTGGCTCGAGTAGTTGTTCGGCTCAGTTATAATGCATAGATCTTCTGCCTGTTTTTTTATTCTAATTAGATCTGAAATTAAAAACACTAAAGAAGATATACCTCTTGTCAACGTTAAGAGTCAGCATGGCTGGGGTTTGACTTGAATCGTATGGTTCTGTGAAGGAGACTTCAACTTTATCTCCATCCGAGTGAACCAGTTGAAAATGTGTTCCACTTGGATTGAAATTTTTTGGTTAAAATGAGATAATTTAGTATCTAAAATGGAGGAAAGCCGCTTCTAATTGCTACGGAGTTCAATACTTCATTTATATTGCATATAACAAAATAATTCATGTTTCTCATGATTGCGGTATTCTCTCTCCTCTATCTTTGATTTAGACACACTCTCTCAAGCACTAATGCTAAATAGGAAGTGAATAAGAAACTTAGAAGTAATAAGTATCTGATCCATTTGCAACATCTCAATTCATGTCCCGGTACCTACAAAGGAAGCGGTTATTCATCGACAACGAGGCAGTAGACGTCTGATAGTGTTATGATAGAAGATCAACAAGTAGCTTAAAAAATGCCTTCAAAGAAAACCAGAAACCGCATACCCCCAGGAGAATCTTTGTATGATGCGTCCAAAACTAAAACTTTTTAAATTCGTACCAGGTAACCGGGTAATTACCCTGAGGTAGAGGTAAAGGGTAAAGGTAGACAATAGTGTTACGTGTAAGGTAAAAGGTAGGGTAAAGCTAGAGGCCCATACCTTACCCCGTTACCTTTTACCTTACCTTGCCGAGGCTTACCTATAGCCAAACCTCTCACTTTTACCCTTAACTTTTAACCTTTTACCTTATAACCCTAAAAGATTACCTCACCTTGCTGATGCCTAATTGTGAAATATTGATATGGATAATTTAAAGTTCAAATAATGAAGTAGAGATAATCATTTATAACTTGATCTGTATTTACAAATTGACTTGGTATTGTGTCATTTATATTATGAAGTAGATTTTTAATTTGAATTATTTTTTCTAATTTGATTTAATATATTTATAAATTTTAAAATAATCTAAACATGTATACATTTTTTTATACCTCAAATATAAGACCTCGGCATATCATGACGACAATAAGCGTTATTTGTCCCCTTGCATTGACCATCCAGAGGACTATCGTGATCCGGTCTACTTGGGGTTTGGAAATACTTAAAAATAGAGAACCATTAGTCACCACTCACCCCCAATTTTAAAGAACCCCTACGCACTTTTCTTGCGCTCCGATTGGCTGGATGGAAAGCACTATTAAAAATCGAAGAAGTTGACGACAACTTCTCCCGTTGTGCCCCACTTCTTCGCAGTTGCTGCATCGACGTAAAGGCCACGAAGAATTCTACACGACCTCAAACTGCGATGGATCACGATGCATAGAGCTCTGCAATTGGTGCCCAAGAGCACCAACTAGGCATTCGCGGCCATGCTGAACGGATGGATTGAAAACTGAGTTGGGGGTGAGTGGTTAATAGCGAAAAGTGAGTGGTGACTAGCGGCTCACTAAAATTATACTAAAATGATTGTGTAATCATATTTACCTTTTATCACTTTTTAAAAAAAATTTAGATAATTCTTATTTTTATATTGAATGGAAAAAAACATAAGATCAATACATGATAACTAATCAAATGTGATATGATTGAAATAATAAAATTAATATATATTTACAAAAAATAACAGAATATATATACAGGAATTTTAAAAAAAAACATAACAAGACATGAAAAATAAAATATTGGAAAAAAACATACAATTTTTAAAAAATTAAATATATAAAATAACAAGACATGAAGAACAAAATATTTGAATAGAAAATATGAGATTTTACTTTAAAAAATAACAAGACATGAAGAATAAAAAATTTGAATAAAAAATTATGAAATTTTAAAAAATATATATATACAATAACAGGACATGAAAAATAAACTTTTGGGAAAAATATATGAAATTTAAAAAAATAATAATGACAACAAGACATGAAAAATAAAATAATTGAATTCAAAATTATGAAATTTAAAAATATAAAATATTACTAGACGTGAAAAAAATTTGAATTAGTAAATATGAAATTTAAAAAAATGAAATGGAAATAATAACAAGTCATGAAAAATAAAATATCTGATTTCAAAAAAATTTGAAATTCAGAAAAATAAAATGTAAAAAAGAACAAGACATGAAATGTAAAATATTTGAATTAGAAATATATGAAATTTAAAAAAATGAAATGGAAATAATAACAAGTCATGAAAAATAAAATATCTGATGTCAAAAAATTTGAAATTCAGAAAAATAAAATGTAAAAAAGAACAAGACATGAAATGTAAAATATTTGAGTTAGAAATATATGAAATTTAAAAAAACAAAACATAAAAAATAACAAGACATGCAAAATATAATATTTGAATGAAATGTAAGAAATTGTAAAAAAAAATACAAGACATGAATAAAAATTATATAAGAAAAAATATGAAATCTAAAAGAATAAAATATAAAAAATAACAATATATGAAAAATAACATATTTGAATGAAATGTAAGAAATTGTAAAAAAAATACAGAAAAACATATTTTGACTTCATAATTTGTTTTTCATTTTAAATTAAATTTTTAATCAAATTTTGATATTAAATTAATTACTTAAATCTAAATTTATAATTTCTTCACTTTGAGTTTCATCATTCAATATACAAGTGTATAATTTTAACCTAGATAACTGACATATGAAAATATTAAAAGAAAAATTTTTATAATTAATGTGATAATTCTATAAAATATGTCATAAATCAACTTTATGTCGATTTTATTTATCTTAAATAACTCTCATTTTATTTTTGACTCTCTGTTGATGATTAAAATATTGCATATTGTAAATTTATAATATACATTTATGATTTTTTTATTCTCCAAATATATTTTTAACTAAATTTAAAATGTAACTCTTTTATATAATCATCATTATATTTTTTTACCTTATCACAATGGTAATGAGTTCATGCATCATGAACTTTTTATTTATCAAATACCTAGAAACAACATCATGTAGTATTGCCTAGAAGTCCGCCCACTAGGTCATTCCCATCTTGCTACTCGTTGGTATTGCCAAGTTTCTTGTTGTGTCTAGTTTCAATTCTTTCACTTCAAATCAAGGGACAAAGGAGGCATAAGCCTAACAATGGTGCTCTAAACTTGACGTACAGATGCCGAACACGGGATCATTTGACGTGAAAGTCACATCGAGTATACCATGTTCATTATCCGCTGTCATAAAGTATTAATCAGCCTCATGATGATGAAACGGATGAAGTAAAAATGTAGCATGGTTACCAGTCAAGTTACCGCAACGTCCCACGACACAACTGTGATCGTTGTTACGGCGTAGATCATTGCAACGCACTAGATACAACGTTGAGGCCTCTACAGTGACGGCCTCTCTTCTACATGGTTGTTGGAATTTCATCCGGTTGATGGACTCTACATGGTTGCCGGAATGTAGGGTCCGCAGACCCTCCCCGCAAAGCGTTCCGCCTCCCCCTTCCCAAAACTGAGATAAAATCCAGCTGATCCGGGGCAGCCCGAAGGGAGTATGAAGTAAGAAAGAAAGAGGAGAAAGAAACTTGGATCCCGGACACCTGGCAGTACTGCCGTTTGTAAAAGTTTGTGCAACTAAGCGAGTCGTCAAGATGCTCGCCATATGATAATACTTCCCCTACTTGTTACCGTTAGGTTGAATCGCGCTATGGGGTTTTCAACCATCCACCGGTAATCATCTTGTGATGAGGTTTCAGTGTACTGCCACCAGTTTTGGTGGCAGTACACTGAAAACTAAAATTGTTTTCTTCCCGGTAAAAAATACAATGCAACGCCTTTGCTAAGTTATAGTATCTAGACAGTTGGTATTTCTTACGGTATTAAGCTAGAATATATTCTGGTGTACGACTTTAATTCACTATTATTCCTAGCCGCATCCAAAAGCACAATCGCAATAAACGATTTGGTATATCACTTTGTGCCTCGTTGCGGAGACGTCATTGTTTTGCGTTCTGGCTATGACACCAAGTACTCCGTACAGCAAACGGAAAAGAACTCACCGTAATTTGGTGTATCGGCTGAATACGGTGTGGGGAGAAATGTATGGCGTTGTATTCCAGAGGTATACGGTCGTCGGGAGAATTTCATGTCAGTGAGTCGAGGTGTTGCTCCCTTCCGTCAGTCGGCGAAGCGGGTGTAGCGACGAATTGGCGAACGAAACGAGGTGAGCAGGGACGGGGTGAATTGAAAATCGTCTGTGATTGCGACAGAATTGCTTCTGAAACTTTAATGAAGCTGTGAAGGTGAGTGTGCGGGACCATTGCAATCGCAAATGCAGAGGGCGGGGAGAGAGAATGAAGGAGGAGGAGGAGATGGTGGGAGTGGGAGTGGGAGTGGCGGGGGAGGGGGAGGGGGAGGGACGTGGACAATCAGGACCATGTTCCCACCGAATGATCCGAGAGAAGCTGGAGGCGCTGGTGCGCAGGCAGAGCGTCCGATGATGATGCCGACGATGAATAGGGAGCGACCGTATCCGCTGGGAATGTCGAGAGTGGAATCGGATCGGAGGAGACAACGCTCCTTGTCGAAAGCGGCAGATTTCTCGACGACGCACGTCCAGGACGATGATTTGACGAAGGAGAGGGAGGAGGATCGTGATCCGAGAAGGCAATCGTGGTTGACGAGGAACGAGTCGGGTCCGAAGGAGAGGAAAGACAACCAGGTCGAAGAAGAGCGTGCGTCGTCGGCGGACGAGCATCGTCCAAATGATGCATTCATGATCCGAATCTCCGAACCAGTGCGCGCGCCTCCGTTTTCTTCCGCCGAAGGAATGGGCCTGATCGTTCTTCCGTCCGAGCCCGATTCATCGAGGCCTCGCTCGCTCGAACAACAACAACTCAATCGACCCTCGCAAGAAGTCCCCTCAGCGACGACGATGACTTCCACTCCGCCGGACTCGCCCCTCGTGCTCTTCGATTCCTCCACGGGCCCGACATCTGATATCTTGCTCTCGAGGGATCCATTCCCGGCCGATGACTTCTCGGCCGCGAGTTCCTCCGACACCTTCACGCAGTCCTCCCCCGAAGCCCTCAGTCCGCAGTGGAGCGTGAAGGATGGGCGGGCCGCGGACGCCGACGACGACGACGACTCGAGTTCCTCGGCCAGCGACGCCAGCGCTGCGTCCACGCTCCGCGCACGTTATCGGCGCCGCAGCTCGCTTGCAGTCGGACCCCAGGACGAATCCGATTTACTCAGGTGACCTCAAAAGCAGCACCAGGATGACATTATATCTCTCTCTCTCTCTCTCGATCTATGCGCCCAAGAGGTCCCTGCGTTCGGTTCCGCAAATTAACCGCCTGGTCGACAGAAGTGCGCAAGCGGATGGGCTTCTCAACCGACGCATGCCCAATTCATTTCCAGTGCATCGCATTGCCCGCAAGTTGCTCGATAGGAATGTCAGGGCTTTGATGACAGAAACCCCCTTACGGCACGGGGTACCGAAGGAAATCATGCACATGGCGACGCTTGTTAAGACAGACAGGCCTTGAATTCGATGTCGAGCGTGAAATTGTGGTACCCTGCACGTGGATTTTAGCGTCGATCTTGCTCATCTTCGTTGGTATCTCCCTCACCACGCAAAAGTACTAGGAGGAACCTGCTCGGCCCACTGGAACTTGCATCTAGGCTGCTGGAAGTCTAGAAACACAGCGAGTAGATGACTCGAGGAGGACCAGAGGGTGTGCAGTGAGAGAGAAACGGGGAGAAAAAATCATGAATGTACTTCCTGATGGTCACATGTCAACCACATTGCTCCTTGCAGAGAGTGGCGTAGAAAGAAGAGGGAAGAGCTGGAAGATAAGCCAAGAAAGTCAGAAGAAAGACGTCGTCAGGTATTGTCAACCGTTTCTGCAGGAATTCAGACGCTCTAGCGAGGCAATACTTGTTGATAAGATCTAAATTTAAAGGTTTCCAGGCAAAACTTTCAGAAAATGTTACCACAAAGTACGTCATTACTCCGTCCCACCTGAATCTGTTAACAGACCTTGGAAATTGCTAAGAAGGAGATGAACGCATTCTACGCGACACGCTCAGCAGAGCTACAAGCAAGAAAGAAAATCAACCGGTGAGTTCCATGAACAGAAGTCTTAAGCATTAGCTCCAGGAATTGCCGGACAATCGTCCTACATTTGCTGTGAACGAGTCTATCTGCTATCTTCTGGACCAGCCATAACACCTAGTACCATACACCTAGGATTGAGGGTTTACCTCAACCAAGTACAAACAGTCACACGCGGTTTCTTTGTCACCCGGAGGACACCCCCAGGCCTAGGTGTACTTCACTGAGTAAAAACCCGTGAGTGACAAAATTCCTGCTGACAAAGAGACAAGAAACCCAATTCCACTAGAAAATGTCGTGTGATCTGTCTACTGCACATCGAGACAAATTATTTCTGAATACGCATTTTCGGCTGGGGTGCATCAGAGAGAAGGAAATAGAAGATAAAGCAGAACATAATATTGGCAAAGATTCGAAGATGCCTCTAAATCTCTGGGAGGTGGTCGTATCCTTGCTCCCTCCTGCTCCCACTGCTGAAAGGCTCAAGAGCAGCGGTAATCGTACCCCCTCCACAACTGCTGCTACACCACAGAATATATTGACCCCCTCAACTTTCTTCTCCCAGCATTTATCGGCCATACCACCAGCAACCCCACCTAAACAGGGATATGTCAATGCCAAGCATGGCAAGGATGTTAACAAGAAGGATTCCAGTTCCACCAACGCGGGTGAGGAGGTCGAGGTTGTACCGCCAGTGAAAACAACAGACATCAGTCGAATGAGACAGGTGTGGACAGACGAGCCAGGGACGTTATGGGAAGCTCTCATTTCCACAATCATCTTCGATGAATTTAACGTTTTGCAGAATTACGCTCAGAATTTTGCGTTTTACGTGTTGTTCTACGACGGAATCCTCCTGCTCCCACTGCTGAATCTTCAGACTAACTCGTTGAAGTTCCATTCACCCTGTACAACATCTTCATTAGATAATAACAGAGTCAAGCTTTCGTTAACTTCCTGCTCGATTTGATTATTCTCCCAGAATCTACAATAGTTGTTAAATATCTTGGATCTACGACACACACAATAACTAAATGAGAAACGAACTGACATGTGCTCCATAAGAAACAAGCCGTCTTTCTGAAGGAGTTTCAACAATGCAGATACTTATGAAGCTTAAGAGTAAACCTCCGAACATATTCAATAAGGCGTCGGACTTTTTATGAAGCTACCAAGAGGGCTCCAACAAAGTTCTCAAGACTGTGTTCTGTTGACAATCGACAGAACTTCTATTTATTTGAAAGCGACTGAACCTTAATGGACGAATTATCACAGCCACAATCGAGAAGAAGCGAGCGAAAGAAAGAGCTAAACCAGAGCAATGTTTAATAGTCATAAATTTGAATATTCAAAGGCCGAAACTGAGAGGCAAAGCTCTATCAACTCTCCGTCTTTCTGCTCTTGTTCTCCATATGAGCTTATACAACCTGATATAATCGATGAGGTAACTTTGAAGTCCATGCATGTCTTCAGAAATATATTACAGCAAAGGAAATGTCGTCCGCGCTGAATTTCTACTCACATTGAATCTTGCAGTGGGCCTTGCGTCAGATATATGAAAATCTTAGATCTTGTACTAGATTCAGGCCACCAAAAGACGAGGAAAAGCAATTGCTTGACAGAAACACGAGTTAGAACTTGTAAATTGAAGTCGGATTCAATATACCAAACATTCGGAAACTGATTGGAACAGCTGACAGAGATGAAGTAATGATATTCTAGTGCCGTTCGGACCCTACCTCATTCACAAGCACACTCTAACTGATTTTCTAATGCTCAGCACTGGACATGAAAGCTTCGGCGTACTCTCTAGAAATAATATGCACTCGGTATTATCCAACACGGCATGCAATAGAATATGATACCTGACTTTCATTGTGCATACATCTAGCTTGAACTTGATACCGACCTCCAATCCATTTTGCAGACGATAACAAGTGTTTCCAACTTCAGCTATATCCAGGCCGACTGGATGTAAGAAGCAATGACATCAAGAATGAAGTTTGAACCAGAAACTTTAGAGCGAGTATCATTAACTTGCAGACTGATAGCACTTACAATGAGAAGATTGATTTCGCAATCTATAGATGGATATGGGGAAACTGGAGAATATTTAAGAATCTGTGCTACTCTCGCTAAGGGACAAGGAGTTCAACTACTTTCACAATCCAACTGAAAGTTTTAGTACAGTCAGTTGCCGTACAAATGCAATTCACCGGCATTACATTCAGAACCATTACTGCCAACCTATCCATAGTTTCATCAATTTAGTACTTAGATTGTTTGCGTTCTCACCAGCGTTTGACAAAATCGATCATGACACGTCATTGGCTGAATGCTAAATTCAAAGAACATAATGATATAGAAATCAAACACTTAGATGCATACAATTTGAACACTAGAAGGACACTAGATACCACAAAAGTTCGGGGACCATAAAGAAATGGCATGGGACAGAAAATTCCCTTCATTCAATAGGATCTGAAAACAACTTCTATGCCATCCTCTCGTAGCTCTTTCGGCGGAAGAACTAAGACTACTTTCTCAACTACTAATGAATTTCTGTACACTAGAAAAAAAAATCGAAAACCCTTAGTGCACCACAATCAACGGGGAATGAACTGAAAGTGGAGCACAAAGGAAAATCTCTGTCTTTCATTCTAAAATAGAGGACATAACAGACCAAAAATTGATTCGAATCAGCAATCATACTCCGCTAGGGGTTAGTAAATTCGACCCTCGGTCTACAACTTGGTTTGGCCTTGACTTAACACTCAAGGCCACGTGTCATATAAAACGCAAGTCTAGTACTACGAAGCCTTTAGCACTTTCGTTGTCATCGTCATGGCCGGCTAACTCTTTGTTGCTCTGAACACTGACACACCGCTACAAATGTCTAGTTAATTAATAGACACACAGCCCCATCATTCTTTTATCAGGTGGCTAGACCTCGATTCCAGCGAGAACCGAAGACTCTGATGTCGAACAGTGTGTTTCTCTTCTAGGGTATTGCCAATATTTTGTAACAAACTTCCCAGACCTCCGTCACAACCTCTCCAATGGGATAAAAAATTCATTCGCCTTCCTTCAAATGAACAAAGAACAGCTACAACGGGGTCTCATCCTTGGCCTCCATGATCAGATAATGCGTTGTCCAATGAACCTCCAGATCCACCGGGATGCACTTCCACGCCATTCTCTAGTTGCGATGTGAGAGCAACTTTCTTCTGAAACGCCCGACGTTTTGCCTGAATCTCCTGGACATATTGAGTGATAATGAGGTGTAGCTTCGGGTTCGCCTTTGGCCCGCCGGGCAACACCTTCTTCAGTGAGCGAGATGCTTGACGTTGAGCCTGATGAAAGTGTTGCCCACAAAGGGGAGGGACCACGGCACGCAGTACAGGCCTTCCACAAGTGGTACCACCACTTTGACCCCTGCGTACAGGTCAGACGAAACATTTTCAATCCCAAGTTTCTAAAGCAACGTTCATAGATCACAAGAAAGTAGTTGCCACCAAATATAATTCGCCTCTCATTCGAGCAACAGTATATAGTGCACTCTAAATTCATCAGACTATGAAAAACAATGAAAACATAAGGGTCTAAGTGTATTGCTCTGATTGAAAAACAGACCAGTCTCAAGAAATCACTATGTTGGATGGGCAATGTAGATGCACACAGCTGATCAACTAGGTTTTGGGCTTAAGGGTTCGTTCAATGAATAGTCACATATGAGACGGTTTATCACCATGTTTCATATCAAGTTGCAAAACTATGTAAAACAGGTTGGCCAAACGACATAGTTTTCAAACGACGTCCGATGGACACACATGAGACCTTTGCATCGCTACTACTGACAGAGCTCCCCAGCATTTCGTGATCGCATTCAAACATTCCCGGGCAAAATAGGAGCGGCGGATCATCATTCAGAGAACAGAAATGGAGTGGAGGGGAGACAAGGGAAGAGAACACACGTGCGAATTACGAAAGAACAGGGCTTATACAATCGCTGCCGTGGCTCCTGTAGAATATGAGAGAAACAGAACACACTGAGTGGTAACGGCTTTGTTGAACAGCCCTGTGCTCCACAGTGCAAATTCTCAACATGGCCTCTCTCCGGTGGCTCCCTCATTCCGTCACCTCCATCTTCTCCAGGTTTACCAGGCCCTTCTCGCTCCCTTTCACCTCCCTCCACATCATCTCGCCAACCACTCTTACCATGTCGGAGGTAGAACCGCCGATATTTAGTTCTCATCTCTTCCAACAAGCCCCAATATTGCGTTCTGTATAGCTTCATCAATTGCCGAACTCTCTTCGCCCTCCTTTGAACTACTTCCTCCAATGTCAGCACATCTGTACGTTTGAGAGCTTCATCTTCAGGGAGCCCTTCCACAGAGGACTCGCACCGGTAATCAGACTCGCTCTCGGAAGCCTCTGAATTGTCACATCGACTGCAACTGTCCGTCGTCGCTGTCGGTCGAGTGGGATCGGAAGTCAGCTTTTTGCCCGAAGGCAGCTCTGCGGTGGTGGGGTCTGTGTAGGATGGAACAGCAGACGACGCAAGATTGGACGAAACAGAGGCCAGCCTCTTCACGAGCTTCGTTTGCTTACTAGTACTTCCCATCTCGGGCTCTTCTTTCACACACAGGCGGGAATGGATTGATAGGCAAAATGCACTTGCGCCACTTCAACACAACCTCCAGATATCCTTGGCTCTTCTCCTGCCCGCTCTTCGACCTTCGTCTCGTTCCCAAAGCAGCTGCTCCAGTGCGCTCGAAGGTTCCCTGCTCCCCATTCGCCGTACGTCCATCATTCAATTCGCCACACAGTCGCAAATTCGTTCTTGCGCGAATCACCCGGCCTCGCTCACCTCCGCGCCACCTCCGGAGCGCCGGGGGCAGGGGCAGCAGCAGCAGCAGCAACGACAGAATCGCGGCCTCTGCTGCAGGTGCCGCTCGCCCACCTCCTCCTCGACCTTCGCCTGCTGCTTCCGCTGCTGCTCGCTCTTACGCCTCCTCATTCGACAGCACCGCAACCTCACCTGCTGCTTCCAATCTGTGCCGCTGCTCCGCTTCCACGGGCGGCCCCGCTGCCCAGCCTCGGGCTTCAAATCGTCAAAGAAGTCGCGACTCGCCCGCCTCGCACCGCAGCAGTGGAAGAAACTCACCTGTGCGCCAGTGTCCTGCATAAGGTTCAAAAACATCGTTCTGCCTCGACGCCGCACCTCCAGCAGCAGCACGCAGTCTCGCAGAGCCTCCTCCTCCTCAGCCAGCAAGAGCCAGAGCGCGCAGCAGCAGACGCAGCGGAGCACCAAATGCTCTTCGCTGGTTTCGTCTCAGCTCCCCTCTGCTCGCGATCAGAAGCGCGCCATCTTCTCCCACGTCTTTCTATCATTAATGCTCCCCTCCCCTCCCCTCCCCTCCCCTCCCCGTACAAGAACATTTTGACTTGACCCTGTGCCCCCCGTCCCCGTCCCCGTCCCCCGTCCCTTCTGCCTCCGAGCGCGTGATTCGTCCATTCCCTCCACCATTCCGTCCTTCCGTCCTTCTCATTTTCATACCTGCTCGCCCGCCCGCCCGCCCGCCCTCCCTCCCTCCCTCCCTCCCGTGCCAAGTCACCCTCGCGCCCCCTTCCACTTCAGCGTGTACGGGTTCGTACTTTGGCTACATCTGCGACGTGAGGCTCAGCTCATTACTGTTCCGTATTCGGCTTTGGATTTCGCGCTGTGTTTGCCGTTGATCGCCGTTCGTAAATAATCACGGGGACGGGGGCGGTTCTCTTTGAATGAGAGAGAGAGAGAGAGAGCGCTTCGGCGGCGAGGAAATCGGTTGGAATTCCTCGCCTTGCGTGAGAGCATCGGTGCAAGGTTTGAGCTTCGAGGCTCGTCTGCTGCTGTTGCTGCATCGGTTCGAATTCCTCGCCTGTCAATGCGAGTCCTCAAGCATACGGCGACGTCGTCGTGAGTTTGTCAGTGTTCGCCTCGCAGTTGTTTTATTTTGTGCGCCGAGCCGGCAAGGTTTCATTTTGGAATTGGAGATTTAGAAGTGTCTGGTGACCCGGACATGCTTTTGCCAAACCCATTAAAAATAATGTGTTAGAATAAGCTTGTTTGGATTTTACTCACCAAGTTTTGTCGAAGTGGCCGAAATTCGGTCGAAGGACTCTTTGGAGCTGAGCGCAACGGGTTTATGCCGTGTCGATCTCAGGATATTTAACTTTTCTTCCCAATATTCTTCTCAACAGTAGAAGAGTATGTTTTTAGTCCATGAAGATTATTTAACATTTTGAACAAGAAACCAAATTTTTTTCAACCTTGATAACAAGTACGTACAGTGATACATACTTCTTCGTGTCGTTACTGAATGACACCAACTTTACTATTAAGCTTAACGTACCATGTATGGCCAAATTGAATTTTGACAGAATAACATCGACATCATTCTATCTAAAGAACAGCTTGTTTGGATTATGAAGTTATAAGCTTGTGTTATATCTGTGTTCTTACTTGGTTTAGTAAACCAATTCAAAATGGATGGAATAAATTAACAGTTTGCATCACGATCAAATAACAATGAAATATATATATATATTGAGTTATATCTCTCATTACTATAATATATGTGGTTCTTTTTTACTTATAGCAACTTGTGATTAGAAATGTGTCATGACCATTATACCTGCAATACATTCACTCTAATTTATATAAATTGACAAAATTACATTTTTCATTAAAAAAAACAACAACAATTCTAACATTTAAATTAAACTAAGGAATATGTGTAAGTGATTTTTAACACACAGTTTAGTGTAGACTTATCACAAAGTAAATCAAATTTCCTTTTTTTTATATGTCAACTTATGTATAGATAAAAAAAAATTTACAAACAAATTTTGAAGATGTAAATAAATATCTAAAATATTGAATGTTGAAATATTGAAATCAAAGAATCAATCAACACAACATTAGGAACAAAATGTAACTTTTTTTCAATAAAATATAACTTTTATTTTAGTGTTTAAGTTAATTTTGGTTAAGGAGTAACCTCACGTACTAGCTATTTTTAGCTAAGATAATCGCACCAATGCTCTATCCCGTGGACATAGGGTAAACTACATTGTACTTTCTGTCTCGTGTCTTGGTTTGAGGTTATGCTGGACTTACTTATGTTTGATGGTTAATCCTGGCATTTAAATATTATTAACTAAAATGTCTGAATTTTTTTTATCCATTTCTAGGTTTACATGTGCACTAATAAATATTTATATTTATCAATGCAACAATACTTTATGAAATTTCAAAATTATAAACAAGGAATGATTTTATGTATTTAAAATATTAAAAAAAATTCATAATGAATTATTTTAAAAATTACTTTACACTGAATTTTTTTTTAAATCTAAATAACATAATAAGTAGTATTTTTACAGTAATTAAATCATAAGATCCTAATGATATAATTGTAATGACAACATATTTCATGAAGTAAACAAATTTAGTCCAAAATTGCTTGAGTTGACTTTAAACACAAATACTTACAAAACGACTTGATGTTTTTATGTTGCTTTCAAATTATGATTAAAATAATCAAATTAACACATCAAAATTTAGACATGATTTCTTAGATATAAATATATACATTTAAAAATAATTATAAACAATTTTCAATATTTTTTTATAAAATATATTGAACAGACAAAAATTATTAAAAAAATTATTATTAGTTTAGAAAATTTTCTTCAATTATAACTGTTCTATTTTATAAAAATGTTGATTAACGAATATATTAAATTATTTAAATATGAAATTTAATTATTGAATTTAAATTTAGTAATAGTTTTTCACATTATAAGTTTTTATTTTCATGATAATAATAAATTTTTTTGGGATATTCGTAGTATGCATATGCAACATATTTATTAATGTTTCATATTTTTTTAATATAGCTGTCCTATGTTGTTTAAGATGATCAAAAATGTATTTTATTTATATCTTTCAGTTTTTTATTTTTATTTTTTTTGTTAGTTTCAAATTTTTAATAATACAATGATTATGTGATTTGATTTGATAAACTAATAGCCTATTTGATTTGAGAATGCTACTTTGCGTGTGTGGTTGTCACGAAAAAATCAAATATTGTAATGCATTATATTTTTTATAACATAAATTGTATATGTTTTTATGAACAGATTGAAACTATATAAATTTTAAAAATTCAAAAATTGAAGATTGCATGTTGATTTTTTTCAAAATATTTAATTGTAAAACCAAATGGCTTTTGTTGTTAAGCCTTGATGAGTTTTTTACTCTTATTCATTGTATGAAATGATGTTGAATTTTATGTATATGTTCATTGATAATTATTGTCATTGTTGTTGTCATTATCATTGTACATCAAAGCAAATGCAACTTTAGATTTTTTTTAATGTATAGTAACAAATTGTGATCAAACATGTAAAGATGTGATGTGGTTTCATATAGTTCAATCAAAGTAAACAATACATCCGTACAAGCTTATTTCACTATATGACAATTATGTTTGGAAATATATTGATGTGAATACAATGAATTTGCATACATTTAACACAAAATCATACAAGATGGAGATGATGGCTTTGAATGATGTTTTGGTCAAATTTCCAATGAAAAACTTTGGCTTTAATGAAGCATAATTACAAACTTGCATTTATCATCGCTCTATATATTCAGTGATGATTTTTTATGGAGCCAAAAAAGGTATATTCTTTAATCAATTGTGAATATAGTCATCATGATTCTTGATATCAATAATTAACCTACATTGTGAATCTAATAGTTTTCTTATGAATTCACTCGAGATGTGTATTACTTATACTTGCAATTTTATCTTTCTTATGATTGCTATATCTATGATTTGAAAGTTTGTAACCCTTGGATTGAGCTAAATTATTGAATTGTGAAAGAAAAAACAAGACGTCTATAAGTTGAAACCTATTATCATGCCACAAGATTGTGTGGTAGCAAGAAAAAACTTACCTTTCACTTTTAAAACTACAAGAGTAATGTATAATTTATTTCAAAAATTTGCAGATTCTTAATATTGATTATAAATTACAAATCTCAAGACATGAATCAAGTTTATGAGTTTTAATATTTCTTTAAGAATATTGTCACCATGGCTAGTAAGATTACATTGCACATGAGTATTGATTGTAGTTTTTTGTACTAAATAGAACTTTTTTCATCAATGTTTGTTGTAATTCTAAGTACATGGTCTAAAATCATTTCACATATATTTTATGTATTAATTGTGTTTTTGATTGTTTTAAGAAATATTGTTTGAATTTTTAACTTATAACTTTTTCTGAAAAGATTCAAATTTCAATATTTTTTATGTGATAATTTGTATTTTAAAACTAACAACACGTATTTAATATCAATGTAATCAAACTATACAGATTTTTTTTCAACTTTTTTTATATCAATGTATAAGCATTAATTGAAAAAACAAAGTAAATATTATTCTAATATAAAATTAAATAATTTAATCATTTTTACCTATGTCATATATATATATATATATATAATCATTACTATCGTAAGCTTTGTCTGAAAAAAATATTATTGTCAGATAATGACATTTTTCAAAAAAAAAAACAATTTATTCTTCATATTATTTATATCTATTATATTTTTGAAAACATGAGTACCAAAATAATGAAATATTAAAAATAAATATTTAATATTATGTTATCAATTTTATTCATGTATCATAATGTTTGAAGTTTTTCATATGGATCCGACTAGGGCCACACCCGCTTTTGACAAACCCGCCCGCTAATTATCATGCCCATGCCCGCTTTTGCTACTACCCAAGCGCACTTCTGCAGGCATGGCAGTCGAAATAGATCAATAGAACGGTAGCACCGGCGGCAGCGTTACAAGCGGCAGCAACGTGGGAGACAGCGACGGCCGTAGTGGCCCCGCGCCCCTCGAAGCCCCTCGACTACGCTCTCCCCTGCCTCGCGGACGAGCTCAGCTTAGCAGCTGGGTTTGAGGGGAGTCGTGCTTTGACGCACGATCAGTTGTTTGTATGTAGCGGGTGTGGCCGTAGCAAAACCGGGTGTGGCCATAGTCGGGACCTTTTCCAGTCGGATTGTCTATTCCACACCGTAAGATAATAAAATTCTTTATATAGTAAAGACAAATGTTATATATTATATTCACCAATAGAGAAAATTGTATCAAAATCATTACATACTGTGGCAGGTACCCAAAATGACCCATCCTTCACTTATTACAAACAAGGATTTGAAACAAGTCAGGGGATTTCATGTTAAGTGCTTTTCCATCTAGCTACTTCTACTTGTTCTATCCGTTTGGATGACTAGACTCCGCGCGAAATGTTCATATCTAATAGTCATTCACGCTACCTGCCTCCTCCCTAAATCAGTGTAATGTTTACTAAATCCTCATGAGACTTGATTGTCGGGCTCCCAAAGAAATGCAGAGTCGGCTTAGGATTTTGCAGTTTCATAATATCATTTATTCATTTAAAAAGTAGGGAAAGAGGAGGAGGGGGGTTTACTTATTAATAACCGAGTAGCAACATTAGAATTTATTTAAAAATGGTCCAACAGATCCTGACGACCACATGAAGTACGCCGCATGGTCGGGGTCTCGTCGGTCCCCAAACTGCAGGAAGAGGGAACGAAGAAGTTGTGAGTGTTTGTGTGTATGTGTGCACTGGAGGAATAAATTGAAGTGTTTGGCTTACTTCGTGAGCACACACAGTCATGCAAAACTACGTACGCTCGAGATCTACTGTGAAGCGGAGGATGTCGTTGAGCTGCGGTACTTTGTCTCAAACCGAACCGTGAACGTGAACATCGTTGTCGTAGTCATCGGAAGGGCAGCGGATCGATTGCGGAATGCAGAGCAGCGCGATCTAGTGGGGTCAGTAATTCTGGCAGCAAGAGAAATTGGACCGAAGTACAAGCGGAATGTGGAACAGAGAACACTATTGTATGCACCGGCTTGATGAGAGCAGTGCACGAGATGTGGTCGGAGGGATTCTGAGATGTTTGAACGAGTGACAACTATTTGCTAACCTAAAGAGCTCGACTGAGGTAAACGAACTGCTCTTCACTCAGTTTAATACCTATTTGGATCCTACTTCTCAGTCTGTTTGAAGTTTTTGAATTTATTTGCAGTTTGTTGTTAGTGAATCTTTTGGTATCAGAGTCCTCTTTAGAGTTGGACAGAATTGTTCGTGGATTTGTTGTTTCTTTTGAATTCACATGAGAATTCTCAATTTTGAGGTATATTGGTGCAGTGATGAAGAGTACATGTAAATGCTGGAACCGCTGGAACTGCTGGAAATGTCTTTAAGTCATAAAAGATGTGCTTGAGAAAAATACCGAATTTGGAAATTGACCGGAGGCCCGATGGTGGTTTTCAAAAGGCGTTTCCTGTTGATGGAGATTATATGGCTCGGAACTCCCTGGCCGGACCTTGCAACACTTACTCCTGCAGTCCTGACTTCAACAATTCAGAAGAGTTTGGAAGTTAACTTTGGAGAGCACGGCCTTTCGTCTTGCTTGCAATCCCTGCACGGTTGGTTGCTATCCTCTCTCAAATATCAAATGGTGCAACTCTGTCCGCCGTATGGTCAATTTAACCTTACATTGTAAAAATTATCAGCAACTACATCAGCTTGCTATTAAGACCGCGACCCAAAAAGCTTCGGATAGGATAGAGTGCGATGATGGTCCATATTATAGCCTAGAAGCTAAGTTGTGGAACAAATTGTGCAAGGGAAGTCCAGAGCAAGATGGTTGTGGACCTCACTCAAATCGAAGTAATGCGTCAGCTCTACCCCGTGTCGTGCCCTGATACAGCAGGTTGAGATTGTCGCAGATCTCCGTAGAAGTGTTGAGTCAAGAATTGGAGTTAAGCAGCTTAGACGTTTCTCCATGTATTATGTCCGCTCCAAAGAAACTGCCGTTAATGTCATTGTGACATTTCTCCATTGTCCTTATTTCTGCAGTGAAGTACTTCAATCAAGTTACTGGTTTATTCCTGGTGCAATGTAGTCGGGAAGAATTTCGAAAGTTGTGGTGCGCAATCACCTTCATATCGGATATCCGAAATCTACCCGTTCTCTTCAATCTTCTAGATCTGAGCGGTATGATCACTCTTTTGAACAAAAGCTGAAGTCAAATGCTCGTGTTAACCTTATACTTGATCAAGCTGCCTTTATCAAAGATATCACGAGTTGTCTATCATTTTCATTGAGTTTTTAGGTTCGATGGTTAAACCCAGGATTTAAAACCTGCACTTCTTCAGCAATTTTCATTCGTTCTGTCCATAACCTTATGCTAATTGCCTTGCAGAATGAACTTGTTGACTGGGTGTCATATTTGGAGTTCTTTTGCATATTTGTTCTCATTCTTTGAAATCTGGATGTGTAGGTAACATTAGAACGAGTCGGAAGACTATTGCGAAGTTTGAGCAAGAAAAACTTAGGCTATTAAAGCTTCAGCCGGAGCCTTTAACTCGTAAAAAGCTGGACCTCTTCAATACAGCGTTTCAAAAGGCCCAGGCTTGGGATACGTAGCGTCCTAAAATTGATTTCTCGGGTCCAGTCAAGAATGAAAACCTAGATGGTTATTAGAACTGTTACACATTTTTGTTTCTGAATGGGTACCAGTTCAGATATAATAACTTTCTTCCATAGTCAACAGCACCTCCGCCTTTGATCCCCGATATGCGATCAAAGTTGGAAAAGTTTAAAACCACCTGAAATGCCTTTCTCCTATTGAATGACATTTGGTGTTTCCTGATGATTTCTCCAGTTCACTCAGAAACGGTGTATGTGAGGATCTGTCCATCCTTGATACTTCGAGACGTTGGAGCATCGGAGAATCTTGCAAAGATTCGGTAATCACAGGAAAGTGCTGGCTGGAGGTTCTAACTATCTGCTCGCGGATTATCTCAAGTCTGGATATTTTAAATGTTTTACAGGAATGAGGACTTTGAAACTTGGCTGTATTCATCTAACACCGTTTTCTTCATCTTTGTGTCCAAATTTAGTGTGCTCCCTGAAATTTGATGTACACTTAACCCCTTGTCAATGCAAAGTCCCACATGCCCGCCTTGGTGGATTCCAGAGGACAGTCTCATTCTCCCATTGGAGTCCCTTGAGTGGAGTCCCATGCACTCCCGTTCTGTCACTTAACTGGCAGGTGATGTTTTCAGAAGATTTGAGCTCCCGATTGGGGGTGACTTAACAGACCATCTCTTTTTCCTAGATGAAACAATACTAGTTGTCCACTGTTGGATGTGTTCATCGAGACAAATACCTCTTGCCTGTGTCATAAGTGAAAGGATTCACAGTGTTCTCGTACTGTAAGCAAATTTTCACTCTAAATATGAGGATTTTCGCACTCTAAATTTTTCCCTGATCCTCAAGTTGCTATTCCAAGGACAGTACTTTGTACTCATGGTTTATGAATGTAGTTATATAACTCTTAGGCTGCTGAGTTTTGCAATTTTTGTCCAGTCCCTCTAGTGCCCCTTTACCGAGCACCCGAACCTAAGGATCACCATGACTCTGATGTACGTACTAGCAGTGGAATTCTGGGGCCTCGTCTTTACGAAGTGAAGACGAATATCAGTATTCAAGGCTTTAGCACAATTTACACACTTTAACTTGTCAATAGACCCACAAAATTTCCTCATAGTAATGTTGTTGTCGCTTTGTTGTGTGTACGGATGCTAAGGAGAAGGATTCGCATGCCAAAGTCGTGATGCCTAGTTTGGGCCTGGGGCTTGCTGGCATCTCGTGGGCAACATTTGTGTTCCACGTGCTCATTACCATCTTTGAGTGATTTACTTTTTGTGGCTAGGAAGTGCGACAATAACATCTGATTGTGTATGTTCTAGACTTGACACAAGGTTTCACGGCAGAGGTTTGTAACGCCTAGACCTCGGGGAATCTCCGTTGACTACTTTGGGCTCATCGCAACAATTCTGCTGCTGTAACTTTGGTCCAGTTTGTGTAGAAAGTGTATTCAATCTGGAGACGGTAACCCTACCCCACCTCACCTCGCAAAGGACAGGTTTTGTTGTGACGCAGATGATGTTAGGAGATGTCTACTATGATGTAGGCTGAGGCCAGAAGAAAAGTCTTGCATCAGGAGAGTGTGTCTTCACGGAATGACTACTGCTCTCCCCTTTGAGCTACCATCATGAAAAGACATACATCTGATCTGTATATGGCATCACGACTCTTGCAGTTTGTCTTCACATTATGTTGGACCTCTTTTGTGAAATTTGCTCTGATCATCTGTTCCATTGGGCTAGTTTGGAATCGAATCATTTCCAGGCAATGTGATTGTGTATGTTGTTGATTTGAAGATAAATCATCTTTATAGCCCATCATTGGCCCTAGCTGATGTCTGAAAAGACCTCCAATAATAAAAACGAATCTACTGGAGCATACTTTCCGAAAAAAAGATTCTGGGCACGAGAATCTGTTTTTGTCTTCCTGTTACGACCAGAGTTCAAGCAAAATGCTCAATACTTTCCACGAGTCGGCGTGGACACTGGATTTTGGAAGAAGCTAACAACCAGTGATGAGAAACACTCCAGGAAGATTAAAAAATTGGACGTGAAGTTGCCCAGAATACGCAGTGTTCTTAACAATAGCTTACTTCGACGATGTGCTACTAAAAGCAGAGTATGGCTAATTAATCATTTAGGACTGCTGCTTAATGGCAGGTCTTTTCTGAAACCAGGAAGAAAACAGATTAGGCATGGGGTTTAACCATGGATCGGTTGTTGTCCACGATCCGAAACATAACCAACTCTCTGGATCTCATTTATATTGAATATTGTACGGTCTTTTCTGCAACTCACTCACTGCATAAATGTGGATGAAAACATAAGTCTTGGTTTAGACTGGAAAAATCAGTAGAAGTGATTGTTCTAGTGAATTTTAAGCCGTATTAGCTGCTGGATATAATGTGTATATTGACGTGAAGCATAACGGTTTTCCTTTGGCTTGTACATTTTGATCGATCCCCCGCACTTTATCTATGTAATGAATCTAATTTCAAAAAATTTACATTAGATAAACTCTGAACGTTCTCATTTCCTATCACATCAAATGTATATCTTATGCAAGTCATTTCCAATGATCATCATGTATGTGTATATATTTTTTCACCTCAATGTATGTATTTCTTTTCCATCATCATATCATAATCACCTTCTCTATATGATATTTTCACTAATCTAAACTTGGAAATGTCTTGACGTTTACTTGTATCAGATTCATTGATCATAAGAATTTAAAAAAAAATTTCATGCGCATTTTTTTCCTAATCATATGTTTATTGTGATAGTTAAAAGATCATGAACCCTTCATATCAAAGTCAAAATAAAAATATACTACATTCTAAAAATCTCCATTTCCTTTCATCTTTCCTACTTTTATCACATAAGATCATCTCAATATCTCAATCTTCTTTCCCTTTAACATTAGATTTATATACGTTGCATTTTTTTTATTCAAAAATACTCATCTCTCAACTCATGCTCCATTACTTAGTGTGAGCAACTCTAGCCGAAGCCAAAGTGACACAAACATTAAAGTGTGCAACATATGCCAAACCCCTCCTTGGTACTTAATTACAGCAAATACTTGACCACATTGGTAATAGAAATTTTCTTTAATCATCAGATAGTCAACTTAGCCAATAAGTGATTTCCAACAATGAATAATAAACCCCGCCGGCAATAACATTGTTTGACTCATCAATACATCATGGACTTCAAATGTAATATCACGTACTTTCATTTCAATTAGAAATTCTGAACATTGTTTCAAAATATCATGAATTGGATCCTGAATTCCATTCCCTATAATGAAGCTTTTGCTAGCTACAGCTATAACTAATGTTATTTGAAGTGAGAAATTTAATTTGCTATAACATTTCTCACAATAATTTCTAATATTTATCACAATTATGGAATGACATTCTAACCAGGTTTTCAGCCGCAGGGGCAGCCCCTGCGGCTTTAATCATCTTACTCATATTGAAGAAACAATAACGTAAAGTAATCAATTACCTGGACTCAAACTTAATATCTATGAATCTCTGCACTAAATTAAGTTAAAGTTGAAAAGTATTCGGTGTGATGTATACCAAGGTCAAATGTGCAAGATGATATCCATATTTATTATTTTTGGAACAGAATAAAACGCTTATTCCCTTCATCAGATAAAGTATGCATTGATTACGTTAGTGGTTTCTACTGATCATTTTACTCGATATCGATCGCCTCATCATCTCTTCACTAGAACAACGAGTAGTTTTATCTATTATGTGGATTCAGGATGAGAACAAAGACATTATAATCATTTGGGAGATTGACAAGATTGTGTTGAATGAATGCATTTTTCACTCTCATGACCTTAAAATATAAAGTTCATGAGAGTGCTGATATCGTATACCAGACCACATTAAGTGGTAGTTTATATTAGGTATTATCAGGAATATATTGCTAAGATAGTGAATTTTTAAAATACGTTTCAAAGAGATATTTGAGAATAGCTCAGAGCAAGAAATAGCAAGAGAGAGCTCGGAGCTTCAAGTTGCATCTTGGATATTGTAAGTTATTGAGAAAGAAAGTGAAGTATTTGCATGAATCCATGCATCTCTGAGGGTAGTACAAGAGTTAGACGGACCAAGATTTCACTTAATTTGAATTCCTCATACTTGAGTAGGATCCCAAATTTGTTCGAACTTGTCAACTTTTACTGCAAATGTGTTTGAGAATCTGGAAGTGAATTCAAGGTTGACAAAGCCATCTCAAGAGTGATATTCGGGAGGAAATGCGATTGCTTGTGTTGAGCCAAATTCTTTTTTGACGGATATTAGTATTGAGGGGTTACTGAAAGCTTATATATATTTACTTCAATTGTTGTTGGGTTATGTAGCAGTGCTTAACCAACATAAGTTGGAGAGAATTTGTAGTAGCTTATGCATATCACCTCAACAATGCCACTATGTAAAAGTATAGTTTGAGTTATAGTGCATATCTTTTCAGGTAATATTTCTTTCGAAACTCTTTAATCAACCATTTCAATCGTTGCTGTTAAAAAAGATTTACAAGAAGAGGTATTGATACCTTCTCACTTAATTCAGTGGGGGCTTTGTTTCACGTGTTTTATGTTTTCTTCTGCATGGTTCTCACATCGTTGTTAGGACTGGTCTGTTACACAGTAGATTACAAGAGTCCAAGTTGCATCGGGTCGACAAGCAGTTTGATTGAGTGGAGGAGACTGAGATGGGATCTCGGAATGAAGTGAAGGGAAATCGAGATCAGGATACAACGCGTAGGAATTGATGTGGACCTTATGTCGAAGCACATTCAGACAGTAAAACTCAACTTGCAAATTCGAGGGATGCACAGTGAATACGTGGATTAGCGTTTACATCGAGTCGGCAGGGTAATAGAATATTTATTTCAGTATTAGATCCACTTGGCCCCTTTCTTTTAAGTATGACATCTGTAGCATCCTTGTACGGCTCGATGGGGTCGTCCATCCTTTTTCTTAGTTCACTGTGTCCTCAGAAGATGACATCTGTAGGTAGAGTGTATTATCTACCTGCAGCCCGTGCAGCTCGCTGAACGCGAGAAACTCACGGAGATGAGACAGACACTCTAACCAAGGTGAAGGTAAACTTAGGCAGGCCCAGCGTAGATTTTTCCCAATTCCCGGTGATTATCAGGCGCTGGCGAAACCAGGCCCGTGTTTTCAAAAATCTGCCGGATCTGTGGGATGAAAGTACATGAGGGTTCAATGAAGAATAATAATAAAATCTTAGATACGCCTTTACTGCTTTCTTTTGAAAATGAATCATCACATGATGGTATGAATGTGCTCCATAGCATATTTCACGTTGGGTAAGTTTAACGTGGGCCTTATGAATCCTTGTAGGTACACTTCACAGAAAAGCTTGGTGATTCACATCGCTGCTTGATCTTTGAACAATGATTCTGACTTACTACGTTCTTATCTGTAACTCAAGAACGAGTTTTTAAAATTCTCGTCCCATGTAAATGAAAACGGGCTGTAAATGTTGCTTGCTTGATCCAATACCCAAAACGTTTAGAAAACCAGGCTATTGCAAATCCGGTTGTACGTTTCCATCACCACTTCATTTCAGTTTTAACGTACCGCAAAGATATTATCCGGATTTTCTCTTTGTTCTTTTTATTCATGTCAATAATATTGTCCAAGAACGTAAATCCCTCTAGCCGAACCCACATATTTTCGATTTCGAATATAAAAATTACTTGTATGATATTCTGTTAGTACTAGAGATGTCTATAGTTTCGGAGTGGAATACCTCCGATAGAATATTATATTGG